TATTTAAAATTAAATTATCAAATAAATCAAAAATCCAGGTCAAATGTTAAATCCCTTGCCATGTAAGCATGAAGTTGCAATATTTTGCCATCCAAGCAGCCAAGCGAGGTGTGTCCTCAACGACAGTTAAGTCAGGCGAGCAATCCCAAACGGCAGTTAAGTTGGCTTAAGAAGAAGGGCTTAATTGCTTTGATCCCAGAGTTCAAGGGCTTCTATGCATCAATTAAAGTCTAGGGGATTATGGGGTTAGTTCAGGGGCTTAACTTATGGTTTTGCCTTTAAGTGTGAATGGAGCTTATCAACTCACAAAAAAAGGTAGTTACGAATTTCTTAGGCTCACTTGAATAGTGTTTGTAAATTTCCCAAGTCAATCTTTCCAGGTTGAGAACATTATGATGACCCTTGCTTAAGTCTTCTTGTTGGTTACATATTAGTATGTTTATCACTTACCGTTTCTTAGTATATGCTTTATAGATACATTTCAGAAAAGGAAAAAAATAAAGAAAAAGGAAAAAGAAAGAGAGAAGTGTCTTGCTTGTTTTTGGAAGTTATTTGGGTGATGGGCCTTTTAATAACGCGTTTTAATTACTAATTTCTACTTTCCACACGTTAATGGCTGATACTGTGTGGAAAGTAGAAAATTGTAGTCACACCTTTTCGGAATTATTATATATCTCGAAGAAAAATGGAAAAATGAAAGAGGAAAGTGTCTTGTTTCTTGTTGAAGGTTATTTGGGTGACGGGTTGGCCCTCCCTATAATGTCATTTTACAATTTTCTACTTTTCACATAATAATGATTTTTAATGTGTAAAAAGTAAAATATTAGTGACTTTATGTTGATGTTTATTCACCTTTAATTATTAAATTAATTATTTAAATGTCTGGTTTTGTGAAAAATTTGAAAAGGATCATTTACCTTAATCATCATAACAATAAAAGCATGTTGTTAAAAGAAGAAGACAAAAAAGAAGTAACGTGAATTGTAGCAACCAAATGGCAAGAGAAGGTCTAAATACAGAATTACATACTTAACCATATATATATCCTAAGCTATGGCAAGCTGGTTTTAAAACAATGCTTGTTTATTAATAAATCTAATTCTTCAAGTTAAATTTAATGTATAAAATGATTATATGAACAAGTAACTTATTAAAGTGTATAAATTTATGCAATTTACAACTATGAGAAAAATACCTATCTAAAAACATTATTGCTATTTATGAGTTCCCTACTCAATTCGAGGATTTAAATTTAAATTGAGCTAATCAGCTCAAAAAAGTAGTAGGTGCATCACTTGCGTGTTCCTAAATCTCTTTCTTTGCAAACTTTTTTAGTCAATTAATGTTGTCGGCTTAAGTCTTCTTATTGGAGGGTAGGGGGTTATGTCTCTTCTTGTCATGTGTATGCACTTTAAAAGTCTTCACAAATTTTTCCAATCAATCTGTCAGTCAGTGACAGAGCCAGTATAGGACGGAGGCAACCATCCCCTGAACTTTTGAAAAATATCAAATATGATACTATAGTTTAATTTTTTACAAAATTTTATTTTTGAAGTTTGAATTATAGGAAAAATATATAGAAAATATTAAGGGTTTAGGTGGAGGGATCATTTCTCTCTTGTGACTAATTCTTATAAAGACACGTTAATTCTATCTAGATAAGAACAATTATATTCTCTTGAAGGTGGGGAATGTGACAAGTGTGAACCATTTGTGCCTAAATGGCAATAGAGAAATTTAAACCTATATCTCTAGCATGGTTCACTTCGCTCCTTCCCATTTAACCCAAAGGTTCAAACTCTGCAACAACTAACTCTCTTTGTACCAAATAAAAAAAAAAAATGAGCTTACCCTAATCAGTTCACAATTAAGTGAGGAAAATGACTCACACATAATGTTTACTTATAAAGAAATATTATAATCTTAAGTGACAATGATTATAATTATGCTTAACTCTTTTCATATAGTGTGACAAGGGGAGTTTGTATTCATCCACCTGGTTTGATTCCATGTATTTATCGTAAGATTTCACTTTTAAGAAATATTGTTGTGAATTAATTTTGATTGAATAAAGCATTACAATTTAATAATGAAAAAGGTGAAAATATTTCAAGAGAAATTGGTGACATGTTATTCATAACTCTATACATACACTTATGAATCAATGAAATCAAGGAGATAATTAAGGAAATATTTTAGAGCATTGAAAATCAATTAAGAGGATGATGATGAGTGATGGCTGAATCTTCTTACTGTGGAAACTTGTAACTGACTATTATGGTCTTTGATAGAATTAAGTCTTGATTTTGCTGATTTAGTTTGATAAAGAATCAACTTTTCTAAGAGTTTTTGGGTGAAACTTGTAGAATATAATACATATGGAAATTTCAATGGTGTGCGTGTGACTTTGGTACCAAATCTTCTTACAGTGTAAACTTGTAATTGGCTCTTATGGTCATTTATAGAATTAAGGCTTGATTTCACTTATTTAATTCTTGTGTCTAGTCAATAAGAAATGGTCTTTTCTAAGAGTTGTTGGGTGAAACTTGTAGAAAATAATACAAATTGAAATTTCAATGGTGTGAGTGTAACTTTGGTACCAAATTTTCTTTTAGTGTAAACTTGTAATTGGCTCTTATGGTCATTTATAGAATTAAGGCTTGATTTTGCTAATTTAATTCTTGTGTCTAGTTAATAAGGAATGGTCTTTTCTAAAAGTTGTTGGGTGGAAACTTGTAAAAAGTAATACAAATTGAAATTTCAACAGTATGACTCTGATACTAAATCTTCTTACAACGCAAACTTGTAATTGGCTCTTATGGTCATTTATAAAATTAAGGCTTGATTTCACTGATTTAATTCTTGTGTCTAGTCAATAAGGAATGGTCTTTTTAGAGTTGTTGGATGAAACATGTAGAAAATAATACAAATTGAAATTTCAATGGTGTGAATGTGACTTTGATACTAAATCTTCTTATAGTGTAAACTTGTAATTGGCTCTTATGGTTATTCATAAAATTAAGGCTTGATTTCACTTATTTAATTCTTGTGTGTGGTCAATAAGGAATGGTCTTTTCTAAGAGTTATTGGATGAAACTTGTAGAAAATATTACAAATTGAAATTTCAATGGTGTGAGTGTAATTTTGGTGCACCTCTAATAACACGGGACTAGAGGAAAAAGAATGGAAAAAAAACATGGAGAAAGAAGTAACATTAAGAAAATGATGGCTTCAGTGACCCATTTCATTCTAACATTAAAGATATTTCAACAGTTGAAACTAATATAGTTAAAATTAAGTAAAGAGTATAACAGGAAAGTAAAAAGGAGAAATCAATGGGCATGAGCAGTCCTTAAACTACTTCATTTCTATGGAGAACGGTAAATAATCTTAAGTCGATGATAGGAGTGCTTCACCTAAAAATAAACAGAACTATATCTTGTCTTTTCTTTGTTTTTCCCATCCTCACATTTCCCTTTGTCCAAGAAAAAAAAATAGAAGAAAGAAAAGAAAAGAATTAGGCTACAGGTTTTTTTTTTTTTTAACATGGGGGATTTTAGAGGAAAGGGGATTGATTTTACGAAAACTAGAATCAAGGTCTTAACCTTGGTAGAGGTGCACAAATTAGGCTACAGTTAAGGTCTCATTAAAAGTTTCAACAGCCTGGCGTGACATGGTAACCAATTGAAGGTTTGGCAATGTCTGTCGTGCTCTCTGTGTACTTGTTAATTTTCCGCCAATTGGAGCTTCCCAATAGAACCACTGTCAAAGAATTCATAGTGGCTTCTGTAGTGTATGTCCTAGGAGACAATCTTTGAGCATAAAAGTGAAAATGATGAAAAAAAAAGGTTGAAAACTAAGAGTGACTTAATTAAGCTAACAGTGTTGTGTGAATATTTTGTCAAGAAATTTCTGTTGTTATGCCCCAGTTTTTGCTTCCAGTAGTATTGAGCAAGGACTTTTTTGCCTAGGGATGCTGTTAGAATTTGAATCTAAGGTGTGGAATAAGGCATGAATAAAGGAATTAATTGAATTGTCTTCGGGTTTGTGTAAGTTGCAACCATGAGAAAAGTACCTACATTTGTATCTTAAAGCATTAATGTTATTTACTTGTTCCCTAATGGATTCAAGGATTTAAGTTTGAATGAAGTGAATCAGCTCGTAAAGAAATAGTTTTTATGAATTTCTTAATCTTAACTTGAGTAATCTTTACAAATTTGTTCATAAACTATTGTTACCAAGTTTAGAATATCTATTAATGCATTTAAGTTTGAACCAAACTAGGTTTAAAAAAAAAAATAATTCTAACGGATTTCTTTATCAATATCAGTTATGGTTATTGCTTAGATCTTCCAGGTTACATCTACCTTTCTAGCTTAAGTCATCACTTAGGCCAGAGCAATTTTTAAAAGATTTTATTTAAGCATTATATGCATCCAGCCACACATTGTAACAGATTTCTTAATCTTAACTTGAATAGTCTTTGCAAATTAGTGGATAATCCCATGGACGGTACACCAAGACTTTATTATGCTCTCTCCATTTTTTTTTTTTCATACTAAATCCCTCGGTATGTGAAAGTTACATTCAACTTTGACTAATTTGAAGTTGAGTCAAGGTGGATGTCATAAGAGAGGAAGGTCTTCTAATGTTTATTTTTTTATTCGCAAAGCTTTTTGAATTTGAGATTTTATTTAAGAAAAACTAAATTCCTTTAACTTAGACCAATAAATTATTGGTCTCTCCATTTTAATTTACTTGTTACACTTTTGCTTTTGCTTGGTAATATTATAAATAAAATTACTTCTTCCAATATGATTTAATTGTTTTACTTTTCATTTTAATAAAATATTAAAGGTAATGATGCATTTATTACACATTTTCACTATTAATTTATATAAAAAATAAAAACTAACTTTATCTTTATTAACAGACCAAATAAATTATTTCACAAGACTTTAGCATTGAAAATAAAGTTTATTTTCATTATTTTCCATACAAATTATAGTGAATGAGTACAGTAAATGCATCATTAACATATACCCTTGAAAAACCTAACATTAAATGTTAATATTTCAATTTTACACTTATCTCAAAAGAGACAAAAATGCCTTAGGATTTTTTTTTTTTGGTATAATTGTAAGGGTGAAAATAAAAAAAATTAATCTTAATTATTGTAATGAAAGAATTTTTTATTATCATAAATGGGTAAAATGGAACAATTAATTCAAATCTAAAAAGTATAAAATTCATAAAAATATAATTATTACTTGATAATTCTTTGATTTTAAAGGGAGGATTCAGTTAATAAAGGAAGTTTAGAAGTGTTAAATATTAATAGCAAAATTGAAAAAAAAAATTAATACTTTGTTTAAAATAAAGATTGATAAGAAAATTGATAACAATTCTTTTTAGAAAGTGTGAGTATGACAAATAAATTACAACAAATGAAGTAATTCAGTTCACCGCCTACTGTTTTCTCGTTTATTTTATTTTTCGTAAGTGTGAAGTGTCCAAGAATTCATCATCGCCTTCTATTGTGCAAGAAGGTGGGGTGCTTTATTTGCAAAATATTAAATAAAGCAAATTATAAAAAAAAAAAAAGAAGTTAAAAATGTTAAAATTTATTTATCTCTTTTCTTAGGACAGATTCTTTGAGCATTAACATAAAATTAAAAATGATGAAATATTGATCGTCATGTCCCCCTTGTTTTTTTCCTATTTACCCCGTTTACATGTATAAATATCTGTCATTGCAAGAGCATACATTGTACCCCCAAGGTATTCTAAATCATTGGTATTATGGCATCGCCCTTGTTCATCCTCCTGCTCCTTCAGTCTTTTCTTGTTTCCACTTCTGCTTCTTCCACCACTTCTTTAGTTAATCAAACAGAAACTCTTCTCAAATGGAAAGCCAGTCTTGACAACCAAAGCCAAAGCCAAAGCTTCCTCTCTTCCTGGGTTGGGGAAACTCCTTGCAGTTGGGTTGGAATTACTTGTGACAAAGTTGGAAGCATCACCAACATAAGCTTTTCAAATTTTGGTCTCAAAGGTACACTCGGCAACCTTAACTTCTTGGCCTTCCCCAACCTAATTCGCTTTGATGTTGGTAATAATTCACTTTATGGGGCCATTCCTTCTGACATCGTTAACTTGTCCAAACTCACTTTTTTCAATTTGTCTACTAATGATAATTTTTCTGGAAATATTCCCAAGGATATAGGAAGGTTGAGTTTGCTTACCGTACTCGACCTTGCTTGGAACCAACTTAGTGGTTCACTTCCTGTTTCGATCGGAAATTTAAGTAATTTATCTTACCTTGCTGTCCCTGGCAATAACCTCAACGGTTCCTTGCCTCAAGAAGTTGGAATGATGAGATCACTTGTTGTGGGTCATTTAGCATCGAATTCCTTTACTGGTCCAATCCCTGCATCAATAGGAAATTTAAGCAATTGTCAATATCTTTTCCTTTTTGAAAATGAGCTATCTGGTTCAATTCCTAGTGAAATAGGAAGCTTAAGTTCACTTATTGATCTTCGCCTTGAAGACAATCAGTTATCTGGTTCTATTCCTAGTGAAATAGGAAGGTTAAGTTCACTTAATCAACTTCACCTTGAAGACAATCAGTTATCTGGTTCTATTCCTAGTGAAATAGGAAGGTTAAGTTCACTTAATCATTTTGACATTGAAAACAATTACTTATCTGGTTCTATACCTCAAGAACTTGGGATGATAAAATATCTTTCTACGCTTGATTTCTCCAATAACTTCCTAACTGGTATGATCCCGAAAGCAATGGGAAATCTTAGCCATTTAGTATATCTTTACCTTTATTCAAATGAGCTCTCTGGTTCTGTTCCTCGTGAATTAGGAATGATTCAATCACTTGTCCACTTGGAGTTGTTAGAAAATAATCTCACAGGTGTTATACCGACTTCCATAGGAAACTTGACAACACTTAGTCGTTTACATCTTGGAGATAACATGCTTTCTGGTCCAATCCCAGCTTCCATAGGAAACTTGACAAGGCTTACTATTTTACAGCTTAGAAATAACTCTTTGTCTGGGCCTATTCCAGTAGAAATGAATAACCTCACTGTTTTGGAATATTTACAATTAAATGATAATCAACTCACTGGCCGTGTACCTGACAATGTATGCCTTGGTGGCTCACTCAAATATTTGGCTGTCAGCAGAAACCATTTAACTGGTCCCATCCCAAGAAGTTTGAGAAATTGCACTAGCTTATACAGGGCAAGGCTTGAAGAGAATCAACTTGAAGGAAATATATCAGAAGCTTTTGGCATTTATCCCAGCTTGTATTTTATTGATTTGAGTGATAACAAGTTGTACGGTGAACTTTCTCCAAATTGGGGTCTATGTCAAAAGCTCACAAGCTTGATGATCTCCAACAATAAGGTATCTGGTAGGATACCTCCTGAGCTAGCTCAAGCCACTAACTTGACTCGGCTTGACCTCTCTTCAAATCAGCTGAGTGGGGAAATTCCTAAGGAAATAGGCAAGCTGACAACCCTGGGTTATCTCTTGCTAAATGACAACCAACTCTTTGGTAGAATCCCACCGGAGATAGGAAACCTAGTTAATCTGCAACAACTTAGCTTGGCAAAGAACAATCTGACTGGAGCAATTCCAGAACAACTTGGGAATTGCTTCAGGTTATTACAATTGAACCTGAGCAACAATCTAATTGGCGAAAGTATTCCATCTGAAATAAGCAAAATATTTGCCCTTGAAACTCTTGATTTGAGTTGGAATATATTAACAGGAGAGATTCCACAAGAGCTTGGAGGATTACGTGCGTTGGAAATGCTGAATCTTTCTCATAATATGCTCTCCGGTTTCATTCCTCTTACTTTTGATGAATTGAAGAGCTTAACATATGTTAACATCTCTTATAATCAGTTAGAGGGCCCTATCCCGCCTATTAAAGCTTTCCTTCTTGCCCCATTTGATGCTCTTAAAAACAATAAAGGCCTCTGCGGCAATGCCATCGGCCTCCGGCACTGTGTCTCTGAAGGTCAGAAGAAAAGCACCAGCGGACTAGTGGTTTTAATCATTACGCCAATTTTGGGTGTTCTATCCCTGTTATTTATCTTGGTGGGAGTGTTTACTTCTTATTCACTGCAAAAAATCTGAGATAAAAGAGTGCCAACTTGAAGATATTTTTGCCATATGGGGATATGATGGGAAAATCCTCTATGAAAACATTCTTGAAGCTACGGGCAATTCAACTCCAACTATTGGATTGGCTCAAGAGGATATGGGAATATTTACAAAGCTGCTTTGACAACAGGCCGAGCTGTTGCAATGAAGAAACTTAACCCATCAGATGACAATCAATCGATCAATTTGCAAGCATTTGAAAGTGAGATTCATGCTCTAGCGGACAGACGACATCATAACATTGTCAAATTGTATGGTTTTTGTTCTAATGCAGAGTACTCATTCTTAATCTATGAGTTTGTAGAAAGGTGGAGCTTGAGGACAATTTTGAGCAACTCAGAAGAAGCGGCAGAATTGGATTGGGATTAGAGATTGAACATTGCTAAAGGGTTAGTGAGTGCTTTATCTTACATGCACCATGATTGTCCTTCACCAATAATCCATTGTGAAATTTCTAGCAACAATGTTTTGTTAGATTTGGATTATGAAGCTCATGTCTAGGACTTCAGAAGTGAAAGAGGTCATTTAATAATGTTAGTTCTTTCTCCACATCTTTCTTCATTTATGTCTCCTCTGGTTTACTGTTATTGACCCATTTGATATTCCATGCTGATCACCAGTTATTCGTTCCGTTTCTGCATTTAATAATTTGTTTGTTATAGCAGTAGATTAAGTAATAATGTCACTATAACACACTTATACCGGCCAGCAACATTAGCTGTACCAATTTGCAAAGACTATTCAAGTCAAGACTAAAAAATCTGTAAGAATGTGTGGCTGTATGCATAATGAATGTGTTCTATCCTACAAGAAGACTTAAGCTAGAAAGGTTGACGTGAACTGAAATTGAAAGATCTAGGTGCTATAACTATAACTGACATTGAAAAGGAGACTTAAGGTCACCTTAATAGGCTCAACCCGGCTATAATGGCTAAATAAATTTGCAAAAACTATTAAAGTTAAGATAAAAAAATCCATAAGAATTACATCTTTAAAACCTTATTTGCTTCAAACTTAAATCCTTTAATAGAAATTCTTAACCCAATAACAATGGTTCAAGACCAAATTTGCAAAGGCTATTCAAGTCAAGGCTAAGAAATTTGTAAGAATATGCGGTTGTATTTACAATGCTTAATAAATGTGTTCTGTCCTACAAGAAGACTTAAGCTAGAAAGGTTGATGTAAACT